ATCACGTAGAATATCGATAGCCTAACGAATATGTACGTTGTTTAAAAGAAACTTATTAAAAATTTATTTAGAATGTAATTAGGAATGTAATTAGTAATAAAAACTCATTACAATTTCAATCGTGCAACAAATGTGATACAGCAAACGTTTATAGATTGCGAGAGCGAAGCTGCGTCACTCATCTTCATTCTTTGCGAGTCCATGCATGAATTTTCGCAAGACCTTCTCTCAATTCTTAACAAAGATCTTGTTTCGTCGGCATCAATCATGCAGCGAACTTTTCGAGGACGGCAGGCCGAATAATTTCGGAACGCCGCGCCGGGCCACAGATAGAAGGATCGTCGTTTTGTTTCGACATTCTGAAAATGTCCGACGCAGCGCTCCAACGAACCGGAAATTGGACGACTTCGAAAACAGAGGCCGGAAAAGAAAGAAGATGTCCTCTTTCGTTTCGGCGTTTCGGCCTGTATGTCCTCTCCTAGCGGTGAAAATCAAACGGCTCAAACTGCACTCGTTTGAGATTGTCTAATTCCACCCTGAAAAGTTATGCGGATAATCTGACCGAGAAGAGGGCATTGTGTCCGGTAGAAAAAAAAATGAGTGACATCTGACGAAATTTGAATAACAAGCCCCGACGAATAAGAGGAGGACTGTCCGAATCGACAATAGTAATGGATATGTTTAATCCAATTGGTACGGAGGGCCGGACAGCTCCTTTCGACAATGATCGAATCGTACCTGAATTGTATCGCGACAATGTCGGAAAATATTGGATAGACGTGACGGAGAGATCCGCCCGACCCAGGTAGATGAAAAACACGCTTAACCAATTTCGTGAAGAATGGTTCCTAAATTTGCTTAAAATTAGGCCTCCTTAAGGCTATTCGCTCGGGGAATCTCCTTCGCTTCATCTCGTGACGCAAAGCTGGAGTTTGGATTTAAATTCGTTGAAATAATAATGCATTACGTAACGTGATAGACGTAATTCCGTCTTTACGAATAATATTCTATATACGTCTAATAAGTACAATAGTATTTATTATTTCAGAGATGGAGATTGGAATAAATGCAGTAATGTTACGTGTTACGACGGACCCCATGGTGACCCAATAAAAATACCATGACGCCGGAAGACGCGAGTCTCTCGCCGGACGTGTATGTACCGTCATCCCGCCGCGTAACGGTGAAACCTGCGATGATCGATCGCGCCGATTGATCGCGCCGGTCCCGATCGCGAGGAGGCTGCTCGCTTTGTTCTTCGTTACTTACATCGATAATCCTGACGCTCGTGCGCAATATCCCGAGTACGCGTAGGGCGGCTGTAAGAGGAGGAAGCCAGCGACTTATCTCGCTGGCAGCGACGGCGCAACGACTAAACACAGCATCCAAGAGTTTCATCGTGAAAGAGTAAGAGAGAAGAGAAGGAAGTAAGGACGGCGTCTCTATCA